ACTTTGTAGTCCAGGCTGGTCTCGAACTTGCAATGATCCTCCTGCCTCAGCCTCTGAGTGCTGGGATTACAGGCGTGTGCAGGAAATGCAAATTTTGAGGTCCTATCTTAGACCTAAGGATTCAGATCTCTAGGAATGGGGCCCATTGAGCTGTGATTTCACAAACCCTTCATGTGAAAGTTTGAGAATCTCCAGTGTAAATTATATCTAAAAGGCACCTGAAGAGTCTTATATGGCCACACAGCTCTGTTCTGTGTTGTGATGGTCAACTGCACAAGGATGGGGACAGAGAATGGGGGGGGGGGTTACTGCTTCCCATTCAGTTATCAAAAGGACCTCTCAATAGATTAAAATGTAGACTAGAAACCCGGACTAGGGTGATACAAAGTATGATCTCAGTCCTACTTCCTGCCTACACAGAGGAAAGAAGACCTTGCATGATTTCTCCTTGAGGTTTGGTTCAAGAGAAGAATCCCAGTGTCAATACTTTCGAACCTACCCATTTCAGTGCTGATGACATGCTAATTCTCTTCGGTCTTTCAAACAACCACCGGAAGTGTGAATTATTGTGCTCATTCTGAAGGAGGGAGAATAAGCCTATCATTTTTTTTAAAAAGCTGGGATTTAGAGGACGGAGCTAATAGTTTATGCCGTATATTTGCTACCCCTTAGTAGCAAAGCTTACTAATTCTTGTAGCTTAGTCCTAGTGTAGAGAAGAAGAAATGGAAGCACAAGAAGCTTGCGAACTCACCTGGTTCGTTCACAGCTAGTTAGGAAATGGAGCTTCAAAACCACAGGTTGCTGTTCTCACTCCCGAGCCTGTACAGCTGATGCTTCTCATCTCCTGTCCACTGAGTGATCCTTCTGGTCTTCAGTTTCACACTCAGGACTGATTCTGATTACCTCCCTGGCAGAAGAAAGAAAGTCAAATGATCTATTTAGGTATTAAAGCACCCTATTGTCTAAACCCAGGAAATAAGCCCCCAGGACAGCTCCTTGCCTTGGAAATGAGCTCTATGGTGAAACCCGTTTCTCCCAAGAAGATTCTGAGGGACTACGGTAAGACCAGGGGGCCAAAGACAGTCTTAGGAAACACCACCTTAGGAAATGTGATTGAAACAACACCTAGATCCAGCCTTACTCCAGAAAGAGTGGATGCCATCCAGAAATCAAACAGCAACAAATGCTGGAGAAGCTGTGGGGAAAACAGAACCAATCCACATTGTCAGTGGGAATGTAAACTAGTAGAACCACTGTGGACATAAGTATGGGGATTCCTCAAAAAACTAAAACTAGAAATTTCATTTGACCAACCTGTTCCCCTTTAGATATCTTCCTGAAGGAGTTAAAGACTTCTTATTACGGTGATCCATACAGATCCATGTTTTTAACAGCACAACTCCTAATAGCTAAATCTTGGAAGTGGCCTGTATGTCTACTAAGAGATGAATGGGTTAAAAAATGTAGTATGTATACACAATGGTATACTACTCTGCCATCAAAAAGGATAAATTTGATTCATTGGTAGGAAGTGGATGCACCTGGATACCATAATGTTAAGTGGAATAAAGCAGACGCACAGGCTTAAATATAACTTGGTTTCTCTTATCTGAGAAACACAAAGTATAAATAAACTAATGAGTAAAATAAAAGACAGACCATAGGAAATGGGGAGATGGATCCTTTGCCAATGGGGCAAGGACCATGAGATGGAGGGAGGGAGAAGAGGAGTATGTTGAAAGCATGAAGACGTGTTCCGTCCGTATGCCAGCTCCTCACAAGGAATGTAATTATCATGTACTGCAAACACGGAATCATAAAAATAAACTTAAAAAAAAAGCAGTCAAGGGTGGAGCCTCCTTTGTAGGGTAGGGAATAAAAACCAGAGGGAGGCGGTTGGAGGATACTGTAGGAGACAAGGACCAGGGTGGCTGGAGAACCGATTTTTGGGAAAGTTGAAAAGGAGAAGCTGGATTTGGCCGTGGATACTTTTTAAGGAGTAGAGTAAGGCAGAGGGTTTCCGCTGATTTTAATTTAAGACGTTGCCCTCATGGTGTCTGCAGAAGGACAAGTGTGCAAGGGACGGGGCGGGAAGGCACCGGGCACAGGCCACGTTGTGCGTGAGAAGCTGACGCTCTCTCTGTGGAAGGCCGGGCAGTCAGGATGCTAGCCTCACCACCACTGCCCTCTCTGTTGCAACCGCTCACCTCTTCCAGGACAGCACCAAGGCAGCCACAGCAAGGGCAGGCATGGGCGGGTTCCCATATGCTTTACTTACAAAAATAGACAGGAAAATGAAAAAACGAGCAGGTGCCAGGCTGCAGGGTGCAGACCCCTGATCTCTTGAGGGTTGTTCTCAGAAGTCCCAGGAATCCTGTGAGCACAACACTCAACCTACAGACCATGCGTGCAAGAAATGAATGCCTCTTTCATACAATGAGGTGGAATTCAATCTCAAGCTCTGGTGGAAACTGTAAGATTCTTGCCCTCACCCCCGCCAAACCTTTTCTAGGGTTTTGCTTAAGTACCAGGCTTTAGGCAG